TATTTGGTAAGTTATATACTTGAAAAAGGCAAACTATGGACCAAGATTCACCTAGCATGGTGGGCCTTGGTCCAAAACAACATCATTTTATATTAAGTATCAACTAGTGCAATATATTCAATATATAACATCATCATGTATTATACACTTAGCTTGTTCACTTAAATTATTTGGTAAGTTATATACTTGAAAAAGGCAAATTATGGACCAAGATTCACCTAGCATGGTGGGCCTTGGTCCAAAACAACATCATTTTATATTAAGTATCAACTAGTGCAATATATTCAATATATAACATCATCATGTATTATACACTTAGCTTGTTCACTTAAATTATTTGATAAGTTATATACTTGAAAAGGCAAATTATGGACCAAGATTCACCTAGCATGGTGGGTCTTGGTCCAAAACAACATCATTTTATATTAAGTATCAACTAGTGCAATATATTCAATATATAACATCATCATGTATTATACACTTAGCTTGTTCACTTAAATTATTTGGTAAGTTATATACTTGAAAAGGCAAATTATGGACCAAGATTCACCTAGCATGGTGGGCCTTGGTCCAAAACAACATCATTTTATATTAAGTATCAACTAGTGCAATATATTCAATATATAACATCATCATGTATTATACACTTAGCTTGTTCACTTAAATTATTTGATAAGTTATATACTTGAAAAGGCAAATTATGGACCAAGATTCACCTAGCATGGTGGGTCTTGGTCCAAAACAACATCATTTTATATTAAGTATCAACTAGTGCAATATATTCAATATATAACATCATCATGTATTATACACTTAGCTTGTTCACTTAAATTATTTGATAAGTTATATACTTGAAAAGGCAAATTATGGACCAAGATTCACCTAGCATGGTGGGCCTTGGTCCAAAACAACATCATTTTATATACACAATAATAATATTTCAAGATATACACAATAATATATAAACAAAATTTCATAAAATTCCACATATACACACAACAATTCATAATTGACCCACTAACTTATAAAATTAAATATATACACAATTATTCCTAAAATTTCGAAAATATACACAATAATAATATATAAAATTCAAAATTCAAAAAATATATATACATAACCATTTTTAATTTATAATATATATATATATATATATATATATATATATATATATATATATATATATATATATATATATATATATATATATACGTACGTACCTTGCGACGACGTTGTTGGCGACCGGCGACGACGTTGGGCGACGGCGAGGACGGCGGCTTAGGGCGACGGCGAGCGAGGCCGAGGCCGAAGACGACGACACTGTTGCGAGCGAGGCCGAGGACGACGTCGACGTGCGGAGAGCGAGGCTGACGGCAGTGGACGACGGCTTAGGCGGCGGTGGAGAGCATCGGTGGCGTAGGGCGTTCGGCGGCGGTGGCGTACGGCGTTTGGAGCAGTGAGCTGAGGAGTGAGCAGTGAGCTAGGGCGTTTGGAGCAGTGAGCTGGAGCTAGCTTCATAAATTTTTTTTGGAGTAGTATGTACCTAGCTCGCTTCATAATTTTTTTTTTTAATTTATGTATACGGCGTCGGCGTTATACGACGCCGACGCCGTATACCATTTAAATATTTTTTTTTAATTATAGTAGATACGGCGTCGGAGATTAATTCTCCGACGCCGTATCTACTATTTATTTTTTTATTTTTTTTTAAAAAATTCGAGTATACGGCGTCGGCGATATACGTCGCCGACGCCGTATACCATTTTAATTTTTTTTTAATTATACGATACGGCGTCGGAGATTTAACTCCGACGCCGTATCTCCTATTTATTATTATTATTATTTTTTTAATTTGAGTATACGGCGTCGGCGTTATACATCGCCGACACCATATACCATTTTTATTTTTTTTTAATTATTAGAGATACGGCGTCGGAGATTAATTCTCCGACGCCGTATCTACTATTTATTATTATTTTTTTTTAAATTCAAGTATACGGCGTCGGCGATATACGTCGCCGACGCCGTATACCACATATATATATATATATATATATATATATATATATATATATATATATATATATATATATATATATATATATATTATTTGAGATACGGCGTCGGCAACGTATAACGCCGACGTCGTATCTTGTATTTATTTTTTATTTAATATACGGCATTGGCCATACCAAATAACCGACGTCATATGTGTTTTTTAAAAAAATAAAAAATAATTTTAAATATTTAACGTCGGATTTTCAAAAAACCGACGTTATAATGTAGACGTTAAATCCGTTTTCTGTAGTAGTGTTGGCAACGGCAAAGCACCCTCCCGGACCGTTGAGTTTCTTGATCTCCATAAATGATATAACACTGCCACAATTAAAAGAATATTCCCCTCATACAAAGTCTCCAAAGCATTTGTGAACCACATAGGGAAGATGGTGCCAACAATAGAAGTGGTAGGTATGACGGACTCATTCCAAACAAGTTGGGAATAGTCATACCCAATTAGTGCATGCATAGTATCCTTATGCCCCAAGTCACACATTGGGCATGAAGGGTCTGCCTCAACTCTCTTTAAAATCTCCATAAGTAAGTTTTCCACTTGGGGAGGGAAGGGGGGGGGGGGGGGAGGGGGGTGAGAGAGACTTTTAACTTCCATATGAGATTCAATTTAGAAAAAAGCACCAGGTTGTTCAACAAAATCCCCAACAATGCACCTATATATAACCACTTTAAACAGAATAACAACACATAGGATCATAACTAAGAATCCTCATAAGTAGGACTAATGGGGATCCTAGATATATGATCCACATCAATATGTACAAAAGATCCGATAAGATACACATATCCCAAGTGTTAGTATCCTGATAAATTAACCCCGAAACTAAAGAACCACTCAACTCATTAGGCATAATTGTTTGAACCATTGGATCAGACTCATCAGGCAACCAAGGATGACCCCAAATCAACGTGGTCCTACCATTCTCAATTCTTCACCTGACACCACTACAAACCAGATTGTGGGTAGCCATAATACTTTGCCAACAGTAACTAGGACATGCAATTACCTACAGAGGCATCAATAAAAAGAGGTCTTAGGAAAGTATCTTGCCTTATAAACCTTAGCCACCAACGAGTGAGGCATTGTTAGGAAACGCCAAGCTTGCTTGCCCAACATTGCCATATTGAAAGCTCTCAGATCATTTAAAACTCAATCCACCAAACTTCTTAGGGATGCACAAACGATCCCAAGCCTTCCAGTTTATTTAGATTAGATATATATATTAAATTATTTAAATGTAAAATTTTCAAATTTCATGTGGTATCTAATAACACAATGCTTTATAATATATGCTAATGGTATGATGTGATGTTCAATATAACAACCAATTTAGTATTGCTAAAGAAAAATACATTTTAGAATGAATTTTCTGGATTAATGTTTGATTTTATTGTTCTTTAAAACATACTTAAAATTTATGTTGTGCATTCGCAAGGAGGTAAATACTAGTAAAATTTATGAATAGATCTTGAGAGAGATGTAATAATTTTAAAAAAATCCTAACAAAGCATCATTAATCAAGAAAAACAGCTCTTAGGGTTGAGTTTTGTTCTAGTGGATAAAAAATTTCACCTTTCAGCCGCAAGATCCCTGTCACGATTAACATTGGGGTTAAAACAATCAATCCTAGGCTAAATTTATATTGATTTAAGTAAGAGTTTTTCACACTTTTGGTCCCACGAGTATTGTGTCACTAACAGGATTGCTCCACCACTTTCAACCTTGCAAACTAGGTGCACGACTATCATTTTTGTTACACAAATGGTCCTTTTGGCTCATTCTTCGTTCATTTGTGACTGGAAATTTTGTTTTCCCCTTTAAATCAGGGTTAAAATAGTCAATTCCTTATTTAATTCACTACTGACCTAAAGAGAAATACGAATTAAAAAAATGCAGTGCGAACTCCTCATCTATGAACCCTAATCGATGTTGAATGCAACCCCCATGACATGAACATCCTTAACATAGGTATGTGAGGACCTAAAGCTAGAAATTTAATCCCACTCATAGCTCCTATAAACGGCGAGATTATTAATCTCAGCTCAGATTTTCTCTGGGAGAAGAAACACCCATCTAGCGAGGAACATGTGGATGTGAAGATATATACATGCGAGTATTCGCAGTGCCCTTATAGCAACTACGTATATACCAGATGGGCTTACAGGACAAGACATCAAGGAATAATCACCAAATTAACTACTAATACTGCTTCGATTTTGCTCAATGCATTAGCATGCAAAACTTCCAAATAAACAATGAAGGTCTATCAATTTTCTCTGCATCCCCCGCGCCTAAGTTTGTTGCTCCATAAATGACATCTTCCTCATCTGTAAATGTCTTGAGCTTCGAGCTTCCTAATGATGACCAAAGGATGATTTCTGAACTCATGTCATTATATGACAACAATTTTCAACAAAATGATAAATTCAATTCTGTGAACCTTAATGCTGTAGAAGACCACAACCTGCTTAAACTGAATGATGACTTCTTCAAACCGGGCGCTCTAGTGGTGAGTGGTGCCACATTTCAAGACACAAACATGTCCATGACCCAATCTTGCTTCCCATCCACATAAACCCAATATGGCCAATGCAAGTTCGTATACGAGTCTCCATTCAATGGAAACACAAGCGATCCTAGTGAGGTTAGGTTTGGCTCCCTGTTCAACTTGGCAGCAACAGTTGATTATTCGATGGATCAGCTGTTAAAGCAGGATGTATCAACTTGGCCAAAGGAATTGACTATTTTAACCCTACTTTAAAGGAAATTTTTTTTTCCGGTCATAAATGAATGGAGAATGAATCAGAAGGACCATTTGTGCAACAAAAATAATAGTCACGAACCTAGTTTGTAATGTTGAAAGTTGTGGAGCAATAGTGCCACAATACTCGAAGACCAAAAGTAGGAAAATCTCATATAAGTAATTAGGAAAATTTTTAGGTCAAAACACAAATCAAATTAATAACTTTCCCGGAATTAAATCTAAATCTTTAGAAAGTTTTTGGGGTTTCTTTTGGTGGGAGAGAGAACCATCCAACTGTAAAACTGCAAGTGCTGGTTGCAACAGTCCTATAATGAATGGGACGGCGGGCTGCGACACCACTGCCACTTCAAGCTGTGAAATGGACCTCAGCGAAGTTCTTCAATCCGAGATTCAGTATCTCCGAAACAAAGTCAAGGTTACAGTATCTTTACTATTTTTTTTTTCTATTAATAAATGTTTTTTTTTTCCCGCCGAGTTCATTGTTTGGTGCTAAGGTCATGCTAAATCGAATTTCAGGAGTTGGAGTCTGAGAATGCCAAATTATCTGCCCTGCTTTCAAATTGTCACTGCCAACAGGTTATTGCTTCATTTTATAGTTGTTTACATACACATTTCTATATGCGGCTATGTATTTTTGTGTTTCTTGTGGAGTTTGATGTGAAATTGAATATCTTGCTAACTTGCTAAAGCTACGGATACAAAGGGAAATGATGCTTCTAGCACTTTGGAGAGCAGAGGCTTGGTTGAAGAAGTGGGGCGTTTAAATTTAGGCTGCAAGGAGGTCAACATGAGGAAAACCAAGGAGATAAATTCAGGTTTGTGTATTTAGTCTCCCAATGATGGATGGAGTATGCTCCTAATCAATTGCTAGCAAACTTTGTTACGTCTGAAGGATGTTATGTAAGAAATTATTAGTGCACTTGTGAGTTGGTAATTCAGTAGTATGTTGAATTGGGAATTCTCATGAACTAACAAAATATTAGATGAAAATGCTTTGTGGTTTGGTACTACAAGTCTTCAAGGGTCGATGGTAATGCACTAAAATGTTTGTTTTCTGTTTGCAGGTCATTGCACAACTGCCATGTTGGACCTCCCCAAGAGATATGTTGCTTTAAAAATAATGTATTTTGGTCAAAGGTACTTGTGGCACTAAACTCTGTAGCCTAGCATATTCACCTTGCATCATAATTCACTCATTATCCATTGTTATGCAAAAAAAAAAAAAAAAAAAAAAAAAAAAAAAAAACACGTATTACTTAATTGCCCAGAATTTTTGAAATTAGATGTTCTTCAGGAGCGGTTAAGTCTAGAGTGGGTAAGTAGTGAAGAACTGAGTTCATTTGGAAAAAGCTAAATAATAAAGAGAAAAAAATGTAAAATATGATTAATTTTATTGTGGCTTCATGGCTATTAGTTCCTTTAGAGTTGAGATGGTAGGAGACTTGCATCAAGGCAAAAGGTATCAGTGTCTCATGAACTTAAAATGGGTTTTGATCTCTGTAGTTGGAATGAGCATTTCACCATGAGCTTACATGTGAAATTTTTGGACTATTTTCTGTATTATTGTGATTACTTTTACAGATTTATTTGGTTACTGTATACCTATTAAAGTTACATAGAAGTTTATAAAGATTCAATAATTCAATGAAAATATCAGAGTGTTTGCTAAATAGAAGGATATGTACATAAAGTATATCTCAATGAGAATACTAATATTTTGTTTATTCATATATGGTGTACAATGTACCAAAGGATTGGAATTCGTCTAATAATGGAAAAATAAAAACTTGAACATCTTCAGTGTAGTTAATCTTCAATATTTAGGATTGCATTTCTTGAATTAAGCAAGGGCGTTAAAACATAATTCTGAGATAAATGGGTGACGTATGCAGGGTTGTTGTTGTTGTTGTTGTGTGTGTGTGTGTGTGTGTTTTTTTTTTTTTCTTTTTCTGTTAGAGAAGGAAAAAGTATCTGGATGTAGTTCAACAGTGTATTGATTTAACTACCGTGTTTGTTCTTCCCCCTATGAACTTTGTATGAAAACATTGTTCATATAATATTGTACTTCTTGGTGAAAATTGAAAAAGTCTTAGTCCTTACTAACCGTTTCTTATTTTTCAATACATTTCATATCATTTGATTGGTGTCTTTCTTGTGTCAATGAAGGTTTTACGGTTTTGCTTCAGAGGCACAAATGGATCCAACTGTTGAGGTCTGCTTTCCTTTCTCTTCTATGAATGTCTATGCTCACAGTTACACTATTATGTTACCAAAGATAAAAGTGTGTCCAAGCATACCATATGCATTTTTATGCTAAGTATGGACTTCATTTTCTATTACCCCTCCCTTGTCTGAAAACAGATGTTTTCATGTGTGTATCATCATTGAAAAGCTATACAAGCTAATTGAAAAAGGCTCGGTCTCTAATTGTGGTTAAAGATGTTCTCCTTCTTTCCTTCACATCTCTATTTGGCTAGCCAAACTCTGAAGGATTTCTAGTTATGTGCTGCCTGTTCTCATTCATGAAAATAGTTCTAACATAACATTAGGGGCTTGCTGATTAAGTTAATACCCAATAGTAAGGGAAGAAATGATAGTGAAGTAATAAAGAACATATGATACATGAATCACCAGAGAAAATCAAGTAGATAAAGCAAGTGGTGGTCTTAAAGGGACTTTTTCCTTGAACAATCCCTTATATAATTTCAAGCAAAAGTAGGTATGAAGTCATCAAAATACACCAATATCCAGGGGATTTCCTTTATTTTTACGATAAATATAGCTAGTGTATTCATTCTTGGGATTTTACATTAAATATGTAATTAACTGTGAGAGAAATTCCCTAGTAGTATTTTTACTATTATCTTCCTAAGCACAAGTGCTGCATGGGATAGACAGAAGAAGTTGGCCATGATGTATAAACTATGCAAAGTGCTCTTGCCTCATTGGACCCTAATTCTCTAACTTTCACTTACAAATTCTAGACTATTTGATTTTCCACAATGATGTCTGAAATTCCAAAAATAGTCCTAGTAATGGCTTCTCATTGCAACTGCACTTTGTGAATTGCATAGATATATAATTCTGGTGTTCTTGTAAATGTAATTTTCTCATTTGAAAATCAACCAGCCTTTTCTCTAATTTCCTCCAACCTTAAATGATTATATCTGTGATGATGTTCTAGATTGGAACTTTTGAAAATTTAAGTGCTATTTATATTTTCTTATTTTACTTGTGCTAGATGTTCAAGAATCAAGTCCAATAATTAACTTATGTTGTAAAGTGTTGACAATATCATTGCCTATAAATTCTAGGCTTGTATCTCATTCTTTTAAGTTATATAAATCCATCTCGTCAGTCATCTCTTTCTACGAATCTTAGCTTGTATAGCTTCCACCTTAGGTCATTTGTAATGGGTGGTGGCTCTTTGCCACCCACAGGACCATCCAACTTTTATTTTTCTTAATAGATTGTTAAGTGTAAAAGTATTCCTCTTAATTGGCAAGGGCAGGCCGCAGGTCTGCTTAGGTCAAGACTTGTTTGATCTAGGATAGAACTTTCAGGATGCTGGATTTTAGGACTCTTGGCTGTGGATTTGTAAGCAAACTATAGCATTAAATATTAGCATCAAATACGTTGTATTTGTCTTTCTTGTTTGACTCTCCTAATTGCCTATGCACAATTGTAGGTTCTCTAGTGTAAAATTTTCAAATAGCAGGTATAACTATCTCTGCATGGTTTATGGCTATTCTGCAGTCTGAAGTATTTAAGGCCCTTGACAAGACAAGGCTTATATTTGGAAACAAAAAGGAATTGCAGTACTCAAGATGTGGTAGGACAGACAAGGGCGTTTCTTCTGTTGGTCAAGTATGTTGATCACATCAGTTAGTTTATTGCATGTTTGAATGTTGTGCATTTGCTAATAGGTAGTTCATGTGTTCTAGTGGATCTTATAGTTTTTATTTTGGTGTAACTTGAGTATTTAATTAATTTTAGAGTAGTACTATTCTTACAATTTGAGTTCAAAATCACAATATCTAATGAAGTGATTAATTTTCATTTATTCAATGTTATTCAAATTGATTTATTGAAAGGCCAAGCTGGTGGCAAGTAGCCCACCGCCAGTTAGGTAGAAGCAAAATATGTGAGAAACCAAAGAAATAGAGAATATATAATTGCATTAATAGTAATAGATTGCAATAGATTGTCTGTTTGTGTTTTTGTATATTGGACTGCATAGATATCCTATATTTATAGGAACATTGGGTTAATACTACTCCTACTAGGAAGAGGAAACCAAGCCCACTCCTATTAAGAATAGGATTAGGGTTTCCCGTTTCCTATTATTCAACAAATGTAGAGTGATATCATGATGTTCCACCGAATTAGTTGGGGAGTGCTTCTTTTGTTATTTGTTGATAGCATTGGTATAATGATGCTATATAGAAAAGAGTGAGTTCTAAAATGCAATCTATTCTTGTCTAAATACAAATAGAGAAATTTATAATTTTATATCATTTAAGTCACTTCATAATATATACAAATGCATTAAGCAACCAGTGGCTGCATTTCTATCTCATTGTTTTGATGTTGAAATCCTGTGAGTATAAGCCTAAGTTCATTTCTTATCATTCCATTACTGTTTGAAAATAAAGCTTTCTTGCAGTATGTCCTTTGTTTTGAGTTACTGAAACCATGATAAATTCTTGCAGGTGATTGCTCTATATTTACGTTCAAATCTTAAGCAATTTAAAGGGAATAATGGATGTTGTGGAGAAAATGGTGAATCATGTGGTCTGTTAATATCTTCTTATCATACAATTTCTGTTTAAAAACTGGTTTCACCATCTGAGGCTATCTGAAATAACAATATTAGGTGGATATCATTTCCACTTACTGAAAAGAGATAAAAGGCCAACTCTGAGTGGCTTCATATAATTATCCTTGCATCCAAGTATTGGATACATGGATGACTTTGATCAATGTACTTGTATGTGTACACCAGAAGTGTGATTGAGATGTACAGTGTTAACTAGGGTGAGAATATCAAATGAATAGCTAAAATTCGACAATTTTCTAGCCCTGACAGTTTATACCATCTGACCTTCAGTCAAATATCACTGTGTAACTTTCTATACTGCATATATAAAATCTTCCAGACTTCCAGTCTTTTAATACACTACTTTTTCCTCACAGTAGGAGAAATTGACTATGTGAGAGTACTGAATAAAGTGCTTCCCGTGGACATTCGAGTTTTGGGTTGGTCTCCTGTTCCAATTGATTTCAGTGCAAGGTTTGTATTTGCTATTCAGTGTTCTTTCATAAAATTTCACAAGACAACAATACTTGTAAAATAACAAATAAACAAAGAAAATCGATTTCTTGAGTTTTGGTTTGGTCTCCATTTCAAATTGATTTCAATGCAAGGTTTGTATTTGTTATTTGATTTTCTGTCATAAAATTTTCTTGAAGTAACAATACTTGCAAAATAAATAAATAAAGAAAATGGAATACCTGGGTTTTGGCTTGGTCTCTTGTTCCAATTGATTTCAGTGTAAGGTTTGTAATTGTTATTTGATTTTCTTTCATAAAATTTTCTTGAGATGACAATACTTGCAAAATAAATAAATATTGAAAAAGAAAAATCATATGTAATGATACATTATCAGCTTGCATATTTGTAGTGATGTGCAAAGTTGATATTCCTGCCTTGTTATTTATTCAATAGTTGACCATAAAAAAGTTTTGTTAAAAATCCTTCTACAAAAAAGCTTGACATCTCGACAGAGTTGAATGTTGTTTAAACAATACAAATGAAGAAGTGGTCTGACTATGTAGTTGGAATGGATAAAGCCTCAAGCAACATAAACTCATAAAGCTTGGTTTGCTTCCCTGATAAATGAAATTCCTTATGAAGAATATGAGTTCCTATTTGATTAAGAACACAATCAACCTCTAAATTTCTTATGAGTGTGGAAAATGCATGTCTTGTTCAGTTATAGATGTCAGAAGACCCATGAACTTGGCATCAGTTTATTCATGGTTGCCATTTGATTTTAGGCAGTAGGGATAAGGATCTATAGTACACAATTTATTGTTATTGATTTTCTTTTTAAAAGAGTATGGTTCACAGCTTCAAGAATTTTCAGGTTCTCTTGTTTGAGTAGAGTGTACAAGTATTTCTTTTGGAGGGGAAATCTGGATGTAATGGTCAGTACATGTGACTTGGCTACTGCTGATTCCTGTCCATGAGCTTAGAATATTTATTTCTTGAATATGGTTTACCAGGCCATGGAGACTGCTTCTCAGAAATTTGTTGGGGAACATGATTTTAGAAACTTTTGTAAAATGGATGCAGCTAATGTGCACAATTATAGGCGGCATATAATATCGTTCGAAATGTTCCCTTGCAATGAAAGGTTGAAATTTGATTCCTTCTATGCTTCTGATTTTTTTCCTGCTTTTCATGCAATCAAATAGTACAAATTGAAATGCTTACTTATAGTGAAAAAAGGTTGTTTACCAGTATTTATGAGCATCTGGATCTCTTTCTTTTCAACATATTCCTTTGCTTTTCTAATTTTTCGTAAACAAATAATGACGAGTAATATTCATTTTGTAATTATTGCCTTGGCTTTTCTAGTAACTGATTAAATATTTTCACATATTATATTGCCCCACTTATACATTATATAAATCTATTTTTTATTTTTTTTTTTCAATTTCAATCTATATGCACAAAATTGTTGTGCTCTAATTTTCCCATGTCTCTTTGCAGTTTTGAAAGTGATCAATTGTGGGTGATGAAAATCAGAGGTAGTGCTTTCCTCTGGCACCAGATCAGGTGCATGGTTGCTGTACTGTTTTTGATTGGCCAGGGTTTTGAGTCCCCCAATGTATGCAATCTATATTCCAAATCCAATCTGTTTACAGCTTGGTGATTCATTATTTGCAATACACTGAGGGTCCTGTTTTTATTTTGGTCTGTAATTATATGAACAACCATAATAAAGATGTTATATGATTTCTAGAGCCATTCTGTTAGGAATTTATAAGTTTATTCGTTTCTAATTCTCATAAAGGATGACATACTGCATACAAGAACTTCTCCTTCCTTTCTCTATTGAGTGATGCATTATGCTTTCCTTTCAAAATGAATAATTGTGCATGTGTATTTTAGAGTGTAACTGAGTTTCCACATTTGGTTCACTTGTAAAGTTTTCAGGTCTTCCTAAATGGCCTTTGGTGCAAATTGAGTTTAGATTTTTGACTCATTTTCCATGAGCCACTCTTTGTGAATTGTGCTATTGAAGGTTGTCTAGGCAAGAGGCAGTAGTGTTGAGTCCATTCCTTTTCCCCTCTGGGCACGAAGCTCTGCTGTTTCCTTTCTTGGGTGGTTTATATTTATGAATTGCTAGTAGATGATCGTCATGATGCCTTTGTTTTGTGACTTCCATATCACTTTTTAGACCAACATACCCTTCATGATTTATAACCATGCAACCTTCATAAGTTTCTTCATTCTCATGTGAATTATTTGTGGTTTCTGGTGGCCAAAGTGCTTTCAGTGGCTTGATTTGCCTGCAATGTTGCAATTTGCAAAACATATGTTGGAGGAACAACCTTCCACCTTGCCTCTATGGCTTTAAGTATGAGAATATTTGGAGGTTTCTTTCTGTGACTTGGTGTGAATTCAGGTCACCTGTGTATATGAATCTGCTAAGTTCTAATTTTTACAAGACAAGGCTTTGAAATTACATGTTTATTTGGCAGGTAATAGATTTATTATTGGATATTGAAAGGATGCCGAGGAAACCTCAATATATAATGGCCCCAGAGATTCCATTGGTTCTTCAGTGCTGTGAATTTGAAGGTGTCACATTTTTCTGTTCATCAGGTACTCAAGATCTGATCATCAACATTCATAAATTTTCATTTGTTGGCTGTTGCCATTTAAACATCTTTATTTCTGTTAGACTAGATATTTCCCAGTGTTTCCTTCCCTTAATTTCCACCATATTCTCATTACACTAAATACTCGGGAAGGTGGTAACAACTGTATTTACGTGTTTTCTGTTAGGGTCTCTTTCTTTTTCTTGAGTTAATGGCCTTTCCTTCTTATGCTACATGAATTTTATTTTAGGCATGGAACCTATGTCTCCAGAAGCAATCTAGTAGAATGGCACATTATGTCATTGTTTTCTTTTGTCATTGGCCTTTAATGGCGTCATGTGACCAATTTTCTACATAAACATCAACAATCTCATAACTTGTATTATCCCCAACTAGCATATCAGATTTGCATGTTATACTCTTGTTGAATACTTGAATTTGTAGAAAATTGCTCGCCGAGTGATCTTCAGCATGCTTGGTGGCATTAAACCATGAAACAAGTGTGTGAAATGAAGAACCCATAGTCTTGGTTCCCCTAGGAAAAACTTTAGCTATTATGGCTCCGTTTGGCAAGCCTACTAAAAAGCTAGTAGCTGATAAGCTAACTAATTGGAATTGAAGTGTTTGGTAAAATTAATTATTGAATTAGCTGATAAGTGTAAAAAGACAAAAGGATAAACAAAGGTATTAGGATTTTGATTAATGGTGGGTAGATGGTGTAATTTTTGTAAATTAATGAACATAAAAAAGGAAAAGAAGTTAAAAAGTCAAAAGCGTTTCAAAATAAGCTATTATTTTAAGCTCCACATGTTTTACCAAGTAGAGCTATTGAGAGCATCAGAAGCAGCAGTTGTTATAACTATGACAGTTTTTTAAAGAGTTCTATTACTAGTTGAAGTCTTTAATTCCGTATCTCCACTGATTTAACAATATCTTTGTTTATGGACCTGGGCATAGATGCCAAACAGGCTTTGCATGAACACTTGGTGAGGGAATGCCTAAGTTACAAAGTACAAGCCACAATTTTTCATGAGGCGTTGCTAAGCTTTTCGTCTACTGAATATGGTAAACTAATAAACTATGCAGAGCTTTCCAAATAATGAACCTTCTTTTTCAAACTCAGTCCCATCAATGCTAGCACTGGAAATTTCGCATTTCAGATAACGATGTGATGAAAACAAGAACGAGAAGGAAAGAGGCTTCCTATGTTCCACTTATGTCACGGCCAACTGAACGTGAGTTCTGTTAACACTCAAACTTTTCCTTTTCTGCAACTCTTAAATGGCTTATTCATCCGTGTCTTATTACCTCTTCTTTTTATATTTCATTACTTCTTTGAACTATTAAGTATAAGAGATCGGAATTGCAGTCTACTTTGTCAATCAAATATTACTGTGTGTAGTATGTGGTTTCTTAAGGTACAATAACTGTCTTCAGGTATCAATCTTGTTGCAAAATTACTTTTTTTTTTTAAAAGGAAATTTTCTGTAATTTATTCATGAAAATGCCATTTCATCTAAACTGAGGCAAACTGCAAGTGACGGCTTTTGCACAGATAAAAAAGATTTCATATCACATCAAAGAACAACCAAATTCTACTTGTCTATGATGGGAGAATGTCTTATGTTGTCAATATGCTTTAAAACCCTCAATTCCAACATTTTTCTCATGTCTGTTTGGCTTTGCCATTTCTGTATACTCTGATTTTGCAACCATACAAAGTGGGCTCTATGTTCTTTGGTTATTAGCTGTCTGCTTATATTACAAGATTAGCACTTGTTTATTCATCAGATTACGCTCGGATGACACCTCTGTGGCTCCCCTTGAGGGGAGGTCACAGGATCAAACCCCTATGGGGTATTGACTCTTTGGGCTACAACATATAAAGAGAGTATAGAACAGATACTACCCTCTAATAGAGTCAATAGTACTCAACAAAAAAAATGGCAAATTATTGTGTGGACCATAACAAAAGATACATTTTTAATATATTAACAGTACATTATTTGTGTACTGAATGTACATTATTTGATAGTATGGCCCATACAATAATAATTGTATCTAAATACATAGTTTATGCCTAGAATTATAATTACAGGGTATATAGACTTATTGGCAGACAAAACTCAAAGCTTTGTCTTGGCAATTATATTCAAACCTATAAAGCAGTAAAAAGAAAAATCAAAATCTTTATGTTTTATTATAATTATACTGGATTATAATGTATAACCCTAAAAACAATGCAATAATCTTGATTTATGTATCATTGATAACTATAATGTTTGAACATACATTTATATATGCAAAATGTTTTTATGCAGAGTTTAATTATGAATTTTTAGTTGTATAAAGTATATTTTTTTGATACATTATATTGTTTAATAAAGATGTTATGTTGTAATTTTTAAATAATTATTGGGAGAACTCAATAAAATTGGGTTAGATTAGATTTTTTATTGGATTGAAATTTATAATACCTTTTTTTTTTTTTTTGCTAAGGAGGTTTATAATTGTTAGAAAATACAAATATTTGATATTAATTTGTCCATTTTAAAAATGTTATAATATTGGATTGTTTTATATAGTTGTTACAAAATATAAAGGTTTGTATTTTTTTTTTTTTGGTCCAATAAGCCTTTCATATATGATTTGTTCTAAATTCGCCAACTTTGCAGCTTCCTATGAAGAGCGCCGCACAAAACTGGATGCAAGGATTCAAACACGAGAATAGATTTCTTTTAGGTTGTGTTTGGTTCGTAGATGAGAATTGGAATCGGAATGGGTATCAAATATTTTGTAACGGTAATGGGTTTTAGTGAAAGTATTTTGCATGTTTAGTAATAGGGTGGAATGAGAATGGTTATTGATAATGTTGTTTGGTTATATATGATCCAATAATAGAAATAAAGATAAAAAAAAAAATACAAGAACACAAAATTAAGATAATTGATTCTAGTATAAAGACATTCAAAACACTAATATGAACAAAAAAATAAAAATAAAAATTTAAAAGCACTAATCCAAAGGGATGAGAAGGAATAAGGGAATGAAAGGGGATGATATCCTTATTTTATTTGGGTATGTGTTTTTCAATTAAGGAGGTATTTGAAACCCATAGTAGTGTTCTAAAAACTTATCAACTAAATAATTCCAATCATTTTGATACCCATTTTTTAGAGCTAAACATGTCACTCTCGAAAAGAATAATATGCCAATATTTAAAGGTGTGTTTTGGAGGACCACAAAGAAATAAACTAGTAATTATCAAATAACATTATTGCAAAATAAAATGGAGTATTATTCCTTGCAGTGTTGCGATTTCTAGATTAAATGCGACGGAGTGAACAAAATGGTGTCGTGGTGTAGTTGGTTATCACGTCAGTCTAACACACTGAAGTCTCTGGTTCGAGTCCGGGCGACGCCACTTTTCCAGATATTTTGCGTACAAGACTGCTCACAATTATACGACGTCGTTCTTGAGATCGTTTTCGGCGAGGCCTCGTTTCTCCATATTTTTTTAAAACATTTTTTATAACACACTTTCTATTCCATTATACTTGTTCTTTGATTTTTTTTTTTTTTTACCTTTTATGTAATTTTTAAACATATAAATTTTATGTACATATACTAAATTAAATATTATAAAAACATTAAGGAAAAATTGCATCTTTGGCTCTTGAATTATAACCAAGTTTTGACTCAGTCTATCAGTTGAGACTGTATTCATGTTTAACCTCTCAATTATGAGTGAAGTGGCGAGTTTGGTCTCTGATGTTAGGTTTTTGTCTCATCTTGAAGGAAAGCCAAAAAATACTGGCCATATTACTAGAGGGGTAAAGTGGGAAATTCACATCTTATTCTCCTTATATTGAAACCACTCGCAATATTATTTTCTACTTCCTAGCCTCCTATTTTAAGGTTATTCAACTCCGAAAGCATTTCAATAACGCTCGTATGACTTGTTAGAACTCTCGTATAAGGAACCTAAGACTCAGTACAAACAAAAGAACATTTGATCATTGTCTTCACGCGTGTGAAAGATACTATCCTAAAAATTTCTGATTTCCCTTACTAAGCAACAAGGGTAATCAAACTAGAATTTTCGATATACAAGAAAATGTCAAATTTCTCAAGTTGTTTTTATGAGAAATTCACCAAAAAGAGTAATTTGATATTTTTAGTATGTAAAAATTCTTTATTAAACTCTACAATAGCTTAATTAAGAATCGTATATCCCTCTTGCACATATAACCAAGACTTCAAGAGGGATATACGAACTTGGGTATAAATAATTTCAGTTACCGAATCGTTTAGATATTCAACCTTTAGAATTATGTCTACTGCATTTGTGTTAATCTTACTATGTGAAATCATAGTAATAAATACGGACTATTAAAGAGACAATTGTAACATCCACAACCTTAGTTTGTCATCCATGTTTGGTTATTGACGGATCCGCCAACTTTGATGTTTTGACCGTAGTCAAAACGCTAAAGTGAATATTTGGAAAGCTAGCGATTTAGAGTAGCAGATGCTCCAAACCGCTGAAAACTCAAATGTTGTTATTACCAGCAACACCCTTACTTTTAACTATTAAAAAAAAACTAAACTGAGAAGCCTTTATGGCTTCTTAAATGAGACTGTGAGAGCCTTTCGCCTTCTCAATGCAACAAGTAATAGCAATTGCGTTTGGAAGAAGAGGTCCTCTTCCAAATATTTTGAATGTGGGATCAAAATGATCCCACATCATTTACAAAGAGGAGTCACTTTGGCTCCCCTACTAATGCAACTAAACTAACGTAACTTAGCCCTATAGACTAGGATTACAATTAACAACATCCTAATATATCTCACACACCCCCTCAAGCGCAAGGTTGTAGGGCCACAACGTTGAGCTTGTCACGAAGAGTATTGAAGCGCATAGACGGCAATGGCTTGGTGAATATATCCGCGACCTGGTCCTTGGTGGAAATAAAGTTGACCTGGAAGTCGCCTGAAGCTACCTTGTCTCAGACAAAGTGGTAGCCAATCTCCACATGTTTGGTCCTAGCGTGAAACACCGGATTAGCACACAGATAGGTGGCGCTAAGGTTGTCACACCACAGGGTTGCCAGCCGACCAGAATGAAGACCAAGCTCACGAAGGAGCGAAACAACCCACGTAACTTCAGCAGACACGTCAGCAAGCCCCTTGTACTCAGCCTCAGTTGACGAACGGGCCACGGTATGCTGCTTGTGGGAAACCCAAGACACCAGATTGGCGCCAATAAATACTGCATACCCACTGGTGGACTTACGATCCACTGGGCACCCGGCCCAATCAGAGTCGGAGTATGCATGAATATCCGTCGAGGGTGAAGCTGATAGTCACAGACCATAAGCCACAATGCCTTTGACATATAGGAGCACACGTTTGAGAAGGCCCCAGTGTTCCTCAGTTGGTGCGTGCATAAACTGGCACATGCGGTTGACCGCATAAGCTAGGTCGGGTCTGGTTATAGTTAAATACTGAAGAGCGCCTGCCAACTGACGATACTGAGTCGGATTATCAAACGGATCAGCTGACGAGGACACAGATTGTGTGAGGGACGCCGGGGTGGCTAGGGGCTTGCAGTCAATCATACCTGCACGGGCCAAGATTTCACCCATGTAGCGCCGCTGAGACAGAATTATTCCACCATCCACATCTAGGGTCTCGATGCCGAGAAAAAAACTTGGCGTCCCGAGGTCTCGAATCTTGAACGTAGTAGACAGGCGTTGTAGTAGAGTATCAATGAGTGCCGCCGGGTCGTTGCCCATCATAATAATATCATCTACGTAGACCAATAGGAACACCCGGGAGTTCCCCGTTGAATAATGAAATAAAGAAACGTCAGTCTTTGATGCAATGAACCCGGCTAAGAGTAGAAAGTCGTGTAGGCGCTTGAACCAGGCCCGGGGGGCTTGTTTGAGACTATACAAGGAGCGTTGTAGGTGGCAAACATGATCGGGGTTGTAACACCTCCGAATTTTACCAACATTTTACAATCCGCTAGTCAAACTCGCTAACACAATCCGCTATCTGTTATCCGTTAACACAATCTGCTAACCGCTAACTGCGGATTGTCAAACAAGCCCATTGTTTCTTGATCCAATTTTACTAGTACTTTGTATTATTTACAAGTGATGCATTCAACCTTTAGAATTGTGTCTACTGCATGTGAGTTAATCTTACTGTGTGAAGTCATAGTATTGTGAAGTCATAGTAATAAATACGGAGTATTAAAGAGACAATTGTAACACCCACAATTCCAAAATCAATGTAAAATAAATAATGTACGGCGATGACCTTGTGGTCTAGTGGTATGAAGTGACTCTTCCAAATAAGAGGTTATGGGTACCTTCAGTAGGTTGAGAAACTAGTTATGAATACTTTCAGTAGGTACAGTAGTTATGAACAGATAATACATTGTAACAGAGTCAGTTAAAAATAATAATACACGCGGAGTTATCAAGATATAATAATAGTAGAGTTAAGCATTTTTTTTTCTTATTATACTAGGATTACAAATATATTTTTCTACTAAAGTATATTATTGGCTTTGTGCCTTCTAGTCTTTGCTTTTGATGATAACAAATTAGTTAATCTAATCAGTGGCGGACCTAGAAATCTCCTCCAATGGGGACGATAGATTAAAACTAATGAGATATTTTGAAAAAAAAAAAAGAAAAGAAACACTTAGAGGTTGAGCTATAAATATTGTTGAGTAGAGATGAAAAATCAAAAAACATCAAAGTGCGATAAAAAAATATTCAAAACAAAATATGAAACACAATTAATTAGCTAGACAAAATGGTTCGAATAGAAAACGCATTATAAATCACTCATTTCACTATTAATATATAAAAAAAACCACAATTTTACAAATAAAAAATCCAATTCAAATTCTCACTATTAATATTAAAAACTGTAAAAAACACAACACATATTCAAAATAAAATATGAAACATAATTAATTAGATAAAAAAGTTCAAATGGAAAACACATTATAAATCACCCATTTCATTATTAATATTAAAAATGAAAAAAAGTTACAATATTGCAGATAAAAAATCTAATTAGAATTCTTACTATTAATATTAAAAATTGCAAAAATCGCGCTAGGCGGGGCCAGTCGTGTCGAGGAACACCAAAATCGGCCTCTTCCGTGGTCGGGCGCCTAGGCGGTCTAGGCTGCCGAACCTTAATTTTTTAATTTTTTAATTTTTGGCGAATAACCCCTAAAAAAATTTTAAAAAAATTTAAAAAATAAAAATCGGGCATCCTAGCCGCCGATTAATCGACGACTAGCGTCTTTTTCAATACTGATTATAACACACGAAATTCAAGTCTTCTAGATTTTCTTTCACCCGCAACATTCCTAAGAGTATACTCAATAATTAATGTGAGAAAAACTTAATATTTGCATGTAGATCTAACACCAAAAAACTTTGCTTCCACATTAATTGAAAACAATGCATTCAAAATTTTACTTAACAAAAACCAATTACAATCTCCTATTGGGATGCTCTAAGTTTGAAAACTGCATTGTTGCGTCTCCTTTTAATAACAGACTTGTGGAAGAAACTTCTTTTGGTTCCAAAAGCAATTCTTCTGGTTTACAAGCCATATATATTGGCGTTGAGCTTCAGTGATAAATGCATGGATTGTTTGGGGATTTGATCTACTTCCATCTTGCCCAAACGAAAATCTATTCGAGGTTAGAAATTTCTACTTAAATTTACACCCCAACACCATAAAAGCCCTAAATGTCTATTCAAACTCTTGGAATTCTCCTAATAGCTAGTAACACTCTCCCTACAATGTTTCTCCTTTAGCTAAAGGCTCTCAAATTCAAACCCCTTCCGAGTTCTATGTATATGTATATGTATATGTATATGTGTATTTATAGAGAGGAATAGTCTCATATGAATATATCATCTATCAATTCCAAACTTCCAAAAGTAAACTTCCAAAAGTAAAGGAAATGAAACTGTTCTTGGTCCTCATATTTTGCTCCCATTTCCTGTGGCCTGTGGGATGATTCTTTTTCAGATTCAATGATAGAAAAAATATGGAGTAGCTTAGCTTCCTGTCAATTGCACTCTCTGATTTCTATTTATATACTCAGCCAGGCTGACTCTCCATTTTAGAGACTCAAAAGAACAAACTTTGTGATGGATCTTGGAGACATAGCAAAAGTGCCAGTAATCTCTTTCTCTGCAACCAGTCCTTCCCTTCACATTTAATTATTGGGGTAAAATTGAATGTTCATAGTATCAAGCCTTTTCTTAATCTGTTTCTGCTGTTGTGTTTGGTCCAACAAGGCTTGCAACTACACTGACTCTACAGCACTAGCACTCTGCTCTTTTACTGGTGCCATGGAAAAGGTATATATGACTTCCCAGATAGAAATTCAAAATATATATATATAGGTGCCAGAAATCTGCTTGTTATGAAATCTGTGATTAACCCTGGCATAGCTGGATGCAGAAGGAATGGAAACTTTTCAAGAAATGAATGCCATAATGAAGACTAGTTGGCATATGATATCTATGGCTTTAATGGTGGGTGACAGAGTGAATCATTCAAGGAAGGTAAATTATGAATAATTAGAATGAACTATGGTCCCAATGAAACTGTAAATAAATTATGGGATTATGTAAAAAAAACAAAATGTTAGGTGCTTTTGTGTTATTATTTTGGAAAATAGGAGGCATATACATGAGTCCCATAGACTTGAGGGGTCATAGTGAAAATATTCATAGATTCTACAGGTCAAGTCAACTTAGAATAAAACTTAAATTTCCCAGCTTCTCCATTCAAAAAAAATTTGTCTGCTCTGCTTTAATTAATACTTATAAGTCTTTCATTTAGTCTTTTTTAATACGAGATATTTGTATCTTAAAAGATGAGACTAATCCGACTAAATATTAAGTTTTTCTTTTAGTCTTTTCTGGTATGGGATATTCGTATCTTAAAGGATGAGACTAATCTGGCTAAATATTAAGTCTTTCTTTTAGTCTTTTTTTGGTATGGGGTATTCGTATCTTAACAGATGAGACTAATCTAGCTAAGGATTGATCGGGGCAGGTTTCCCGAGGTCTTTCTTCTGGTTTGAATGAGGTATATAAGAAATAAAGAAGACCAAGAAATAATGTTCCATATCTGAGAGCAGCAGACAATGCATGCAGTTGAACTTTTACCAGTTCAACTGAAAAAAGAGAAGACTTGGAAGTATCTATAGAGAATAATAGTCTCGTATAAATATGTCCATGACATTATGTTGTATTATTAGCTGCATCATCAAGTCCAAACTTTGAAAAGAAAAAGGAAATGAAAATATTCTTGGTCCTCATATGTTGTTGCTTCCATTTCCTGCATTATCCACTCTTCTGCACTGCTAATAGGGAAGTCCAAGTTGGGGTGATTCTTGATTCAGATTCATTGATAGGAAGAATAGGGAGAAGGTTCCTGTCAATTGCACGTTCTGATTTCTACTCAGTTCATTCCAACTACTCAACCAGGCTGGTTCTTCATTTTAGAGACTCAAAGGACCAAACTCTCACCGCCGCATCTTCTGGTACCAGTTCTTTCCTTGTCTCCTTGTTCTGCAAACTGTCTAAATCTTCTATGCATGTTTATATGAATTCATGGATATCGTCCTAGTGTACATGAATATACTTGTGAATTAAGACTCTTGTAAATCCCATGATCCATTTGTATCTGAAATGATTGATTCTGATTAAATAGCTTATCTGTATGTTCCAAAAGATGCAGTCTATGCAGATACTCCTATCTGTTTCATTTTTATAAGTATTTATTTATTGTATATATATTAGGTTAGTGACCACTATCATCATGGTTTTTTTTTTTTTTTTGGGCATATGAAAACAGGTCTGGAGTTGCTGAAAGATGCAAAGGTTGATGCAATAATTGGACCTCAAAAATCAGCACAAGGAAACTTTGTGATGGATCTTGGAGGCATAGCAAAAGTGCCAGTAATCTCTTTCTCGGCAACCAGTCCTTCCCTTCGCCCTCGCTCCCCTTACTTTGTTCAAACAGGCCTAAGCGATGACGCTCAGGTTGGTGCAATTGCAGCCATAGTGGAATCCTTCAAGTGGAGTCAGGTTGTTCTTATATTTGAGGACTCTGAGTTTGGCTATGGCATTATTCCTTACTTGTCTAATGTGTTCCAAGAAATAAATATTCGCATCTCCTACAAGAGCCTACTTCCTGTTTCGGCATCATCTGATTTTTTGCTCAAAGAACTGTACAAGATGATGACAATGCAGACAAGGGTGTTTGTGGTGCAAACAAGTAGTGATCTTGGGGCCAGGCTTTTTCTGAAAGCCAAGGAAATTGGGATGATGAATGAGGGATATGCTTGGATTATTACACAAACGCTGATGGATGTAATGTATTTGATGGACTCGAATGTTGTAGAAGCAATGCAAGGGGTGATAGGGGTAAAGCCTTTGATTCCCAAGACTAAAAGACTTGACACATTTGAAATGAGGTTGAAAAGCAAACTCATGAAAGATAAGACTAAAACACTTGATCATCCAGGCTTTAGACAAGCAGATTTGAGTGTTTTTGGGCTGTGGGCATATGACACTTTGTGGGCATTAGCTGAGGCTGCAGAGAAAGTAGGAAGAGGCAGAGAGGCTAAAGAAGTTCTAGACAGTTCATCAGATCCATTTGCTGTTGGAGTCTCAGAATCAGGTCCTGAGCTTCTGCAAGCAATATTGGGCACAAGATTTGAAGGGATTTCTGGGAAGTTCCAGCTTGCTGATGGAAAGAGAGAAGCGTCATCGTTTCAAATACTTAATGTGGTTGGAAATGGGGAGAGAGAGGTGGCAATCTGGACACCTTCTTCACGAGGAATCAATTTCAAGACGAATAATGGCACTAATTTTTATTCTTCATCAAGAGAAATCTTCAAGAGTAGTGTCATATGGCCAGGAGGGTCAACTGCTGTTCCCAGGGGATGGGAAGTCCCAGTTGCAGGTAAGAAGCTAAGAGTCGGAGTGCCAGTGAAGTCGGGTTTTACAGACTTTGTGAGAGTGGAAAGGGACAAGGAACTCAATAGAACCCAAGTTAGCGGATACTACATTGATGTCTTCAATTCCGTCATGTCAGCGTTGCAATATTCTGTGCGCTATGAGCTCGTTCCCTTTGAGAAACCTGATGGCTCAAGTGCAGGAACTTATAATGATCTAGTATACCAAGTATTCCTTCAGGTGAACTTAAACAGGTTCCTTTACTATCATAGCCAAATTCTTGTATCTCATTATATTTTCCTAGTTTCTGATTAATTTTATGTTGTGTGATCAGAACTTTGATGCTGCAGCTGGGGATATATCAATCACAGCAAACCGTTCAAAGTATGCAGACTTCACATTGCCCTTTGCAGAAGGAGGGGTGTTCGGTATAGTCCCAATAGCGTATGAGGATGTGGACAACATATGGACCTTTTTGAAGCCCCTAACGAAACAACTTTGGCTAACCAGCATAGTGTTCTTCATTTTCACTGGCATGGCTGTCTGGATTCTTGAACACAGGGTTAGCTCTGCTTTCCGAGGTCCTCCTTCTCAACATGTCGGAATGATCCTATACTTTCCATTCTCGACGCTAGTATTTGCACATAGTAAGTAGTCTTTCTTCTTTCCATTTTCTTTTCAGTCCAACTCAACTGCTGCAGAACCAATATAATTCTGTTGCAGGAGAGAGAATCGTGAGTAATTTTGCACGGCTTGTTGTGGTGGTTTGGATGTTCGTCGTACTTATTCTGAACTCAACTTATACAGCCAGCTTGTCGTCAAGATTAACAGTACAACGTCTTAAACCAGCAATCAAAGATGTGAACCAGCTAATCAAGAATGGAGACTTTGTTGGCTGTCCAGAAGGCTCCTTCATACCAGACCTCTTGAAGGAAAAGGGATTTCAAGAATCCAAGATCAATACTTATAAATATCCCGAGGATTTCCATAACGCATTGTCTAACGGAAGTAACAATGGTGGGATATCAGCATATTTTGATGGAGCTCCTAATACCAAAATCTTCCTATCCAAATACTGTGGCAAATACACCATTGGACCTTCTTACCGCACTGATGGATTTGCTTTCGTAAGCATTTTCTCATATTACTTCTTCAGTATCACTATCACTATCACTTCTTGCTTTCTTTATGTCTGTGACTTTGAAAAAATTTCAGGTTTTCCCTAGAGGGTCTCCACTAGTTGCAGATGTATCACGGGCAGTGATTGAGCTGACAGAAAATGGAAGGATTTTGGAGATTGGGAATCAAGGGCTCGGAAATGAAGCGACATGTACAGGGCCAGACAGCACACGGCTGGGATCGACAAGTGTGAAATTACAGTGTTTCAAAGGACTCTTTGCCATTACTGGGGGCATAACAGGATCCTGTCTCCTAGTTTTCCTAGTCAACTATGTATACCAGAACAGAACATGTCTGCAGACAATCTTGGACTCCAAAACTACTGTTTGGTCAAAGATTGTTGCAATTTGCAGACATTTTGATGAAAGAGACACTTGTGCTGATCCACCTAGAGATCCCAAAGAGAAAATCCCAGTTGCAGAAGGTGGTGAAGTCGGTTCTTCATCATATATCAGTGAAGTTCCTGCTGACCTATTGAGAATTTCTTCTAATTCCAGTGTTGTAGTGCCCTTGAATATTGAAGAACAAACAGTGCCAGTGTGAGCATGGCATTGTAGGAGCAATGAATTATTGTGATGGTTTATGATTACAATAGTGTGCAACGAATTGTTGTTAATATGCTAAATGGTGAATCTGTTACAATGCCTCCTTTCTCTGTAGAATAGTGTGCTCTTGTTTTTCTGTAACTGGCATAACTTGATTTTCAGTAGGTTATAAAGGTTAAATTTTTGGTTTGTTATTCAATTTATTAGTTAGTTATGTAATTGACCAACCGTTTGTTCACTCTTATAAATTTTTTATTATTTTTTTGAAATACTCAAGATTCTTTACAAGGTATAGTAGTATCTATTCTATAAAAATGTTAATTGCATACATTTTTATTTTTATTTTAATGTTAAATGGTTTAATTGCACAAGTTTTGTATTTGATGCTCCAATTGTGTAGATTACAAAAGTTCAATAACCTATTTGACATTTTTCCTATTATATACAACACAATAAACAATAGTTTATAATATGATTTAAAAAGTATGAATGTTTAGAAATATGTTAATGTAAGAACAATTTATCACGAGTTAGCTATATCATGCAGGAACAGAATCACGTTGAGGATTGGCTCGCCAAGAACCGGGTTGTAGTCCTGATTTAGTTTTGCTTTTTTCTTGTCTGAATGCTAACCTTGCAGCTCATGTTTTTGAGAGACAGGACCGGAGTGCCTTGTGCTCATGAGACTAATGGTTACTTGACAAAAATGTGTTATAAAAGAATTATCTTTTTACTCCTCTGTGTTGTTAAATTTTATGTAACAAAGCAGTTGTTCAAGATATAGTTCAGTTGATGTACTAAGGTAGATAGAGCATGAACTAGTATTTAAAATAGTTCAACAATTAGACTTGTCGAAGTGAAGATTGAACCAGCTGAAAGATCATTGTTCGAGCAGATGTTCAAGATAGTTATTCAGTTAAGATCTCCATGGGACATATATATAAATGATTATCTCTCACTTTACCCGATGATGAAGATTTTTACGGAGAAAATATGATACACCTTGAGAATATCCAGAGAGTTCATTCGAATGACTTGATAATCATTATCCATTGGATAAAGATTTGAAGTCAAGTCAGTCATCTCATCCATTGCTATTTTTGGGTTGATTATCACATCAAGCTAAAGCTAGTCTGCTGCAATTGAGGGTTGGGGAGCCTCAATTTGGGTGATATGGAGATCTCACACCGATTCTTCAAAGAAGGAGCTTGTCTTGATTAGCTAAGTTGTAGCTGTACATTCTTGAAGTTCTTCGTATTCATCTTTGTGATTCAGTATATCGCTTCCTTTGAGCTCAATGAAGAATCGTGCAAGTCATTTCATGTGATGCCTCCCAAATGTAGGAGTTTAATTCTTTCAACTGAGTTATCACTATCCGTGTGTTCATCATTGTCTTCTTATTGTGTTCATTATTAATCGGGTGAACATCTCACTGCACCAATCGTTGAACTAGTTCAGAAGACAAACTTATGAAAGCGTAAAGTCGTAAACCTGACTATTCGTGTTCATTACTTATCGGTTTAATTAACTCTAGATCATTAGTAAGTAATTGGAGTTAGGACTTTAGTTGCCTAATTTCATCACCTTTCCATTTTTAAACAAATTTTATAAAATTTATTTTTGCATTCAATTTTTATTTTTATTTTTTTGACAAAAATGTTTAAGGACATGTTTGGAAAGCGGTAGTTGTAATTCAACTACAATCTAGTTCTTTGCAAAACACAATTACATTGTTTGTTTGGAAGAAATTGCAAATAGAAGTGTCAAAACAGACTCAACCTGTCATGTTGGGATAGTTTAACCCGTATTTTAGACGGACTAGGTTAGAAAATTTCCAACTCGACTAGTATAACCGTATCCGCATCCCACCACCCTCAAATTTGTCCCTTGACCTTTTACTTACAGTATTACTATTAAAACCATTTATGCTAAATACACCTGTTGAACATTTTTAAATAATTTTATATTTATTTAGATCACACACACACACACACACACACACACACACACACACACACACACACACACACACACACACACACACACATATATATATATATATATATATATATATATAATTTATTTATATTACATTTATTACAAGAATTAATTAATAAAATTAATTATATCTTTATATAAATATTAATATAAAATTTATTTATTATATAAAGTAATAAACCATATATTTTTCTAAACTTTATAAATTAATAATATTATAATTACAAAACAAAAATATTACATGTAACCTATATTAGTATTAAATATAAATTATTAAATAAATTATTATGGGTCAAATGAGTCACTCAACTGCATATCAAAATGTAATTAGGTTATGGAACTAAAAAAGTAATGCAATTGGATCCCTGTACAACACAAAATCATGCAATTAGACCCAAAGTAACATGTTTACCTGAAAGTGTGCTGACATGGAGGTTGCCAATTTTTTTTTAAAATATTAAGAATAAGGGTCAAATAGACCACTCAACTGCACACCACATTGCAATTGGATCATCGAACTAAAAAAGAATGCAATTGGGTCTCTAAACGACATAAAATCATGCAATTCAATCCAAATTGACTTGTTTACCTGTAAAGGCGGTTATATTGAATTTAAAAATATTTTTAATAATTTAAATAAAAATTAAAATCAAAATAAATAAATAAATTTAAAAAAAAAAAAAAAAAACAGAAAACCCTTCGTCCCGCCGGAGACGAAGAAGTCTTCTTCTTCGTCTCTGGCAGAGATGAATGGGTGGCTTCGTCTTGGGCCGTCTCCCAGGTCATGGAGACAGCCTGAGATGAAGCCACCTTCGTCTCAGGCTGTCTCCATGGCCGGGGAAAAGGCCCAAGAGTTGCCTGCCACTTCGTCTTCGGTGGAGGCGAAGTGGCGGCTTCGTTTTGGGCCGTCTCCCCGGCCATGGAGACGGCCTGAGACGAAACCACCTTCGTCTCAGGCCGTTTCTCCGGCCTGGGAGACGGTCTGAGACGAAGATCCCTCCGTCTCCGTTCGTCTCCGACGAAAACGACATAGGGGTTTTTTTTAAAAAAAAAAATTTAATTATAGTTTTTTTTTTAAAAAAAAATTATTAAAAAATATATTTTTAAATTCGGTAACCGTCTTTTCAAGTAAACAGGTCAATTTTGAATTGAATTGCATGAGTTTATGTAGTTCAGGAACTCAATTGCATTCTTTTTCAGTTCGATGGTCTAATTGCAATTGGATGCGAAATTGAGTGGCCTATTTGACCCTTATTCCAAAATAGAACAAATTGCACTTTTGGTCCTATGAGTATTAGGGTACTGACAATTTGAGTACGTGACTTTCAAAACTCCCAATTTAAACCTTTAACTATGCAATTTTTGGCACATTTGGTCCTCCGGGCCAAATTGCCGGCCAATTTTGGCCGGAAAAAGATTTAATGTTTCGAATTAATTTCTGATGAGGGTAAAAACGTCATTTCACTCTCTTCTTCTTCATTCACCCCCTTCTTCTTCGTTATTCTTCTTCTTCTTCATCCTGGGGCTAGTGACAAAGTTGAAGGAAGGAAATATGACAAAGTTGATTCATTGGCCATAATAATCAGACTGTAATTTAACCATTGTAGATATTCAATTCAAAAGATGAAGTGGTTGTAGTCATTAGGACCGTTACATCCGGCCTCCTTTCTATGCAGCATTTGATCACGGGAATCTCTGCCATTCCCTCGCCTATTTCCCAAATTATAGTAAAAAATAAAATGAAATTACTGATAACCAACCGCATTACACACAAATATCATTAGTTCAAAAAAGAAAAAGTAAAACCTCAACTCGAAGTTCACTCAATAGTTTACAGGGTACATTTAAACATTATTACACAGTAACACAAACATGCATAACTATACTTATGGTTAGGGAATGGCTATTTATTTATTTTCATTTCTAATTTTCGACTAGTTTATGCAATGTAGATATGAACATTAAACGAGGTATTCAATCTAATTCCGCCACTGGATGTAACAAGAAAGGAGGAGAGATTCACCTAGCGAGACTGCATGGAACCAGACGAGGGGACCAGCGGGACGAGGGAGAGAAGGACGACCAAGACGCTCGACCCACCGGAGGGGATGCTCGAGGCCGCGGCGTTTGCGCCACCGCAGATGGAGGTATAACAGTGGCGACAGGCCGTACGTAAGGGCTCTGTAAATCGTATACAAGATTTCACCACGTTCCCTAGCCATTCACGGGCTGGCCTCTGCTATGCCCTGATCAGTGCTGGAGTTGATGTGCAAGCATTGCTACAGAAGGTGAGCTTCCCTCTTTGAATTCCATTGGCGTGGATGTGCTCCCAGTGCGATGAAGAAGAAGAAGAATGAAGAAGAAGGGGTGAATGAAGAAGAAGAAAGTGAAATGACGTTTTTACCCTCATCAGAAATTAATTCGAAACATTAAATCTTTTTCCGGTCAAAATTGGCCGGCAATTTGGCCCGGAGGACCAAATGTGCCAAAAATTGCATAGTTAAAGGTTTAAATTGGAAGTTTTGAAAGTCACGTACTCAAATTGTCAGTACCCTAATACTCACAGGACCAAAAGTGCAATTTGTTCTTCCAAAATATTATAAATCCTGGTGTATGAGTAGCGGAGTATATGACCCCTACAGGCTAAATTACTATATTTTCAGAGTTTTCAGTTTTCTCCTCGCCACCTATACATTAACTGTAAAGAGAGAAACGGTCCAACGGATATGGTAGAAATCGAAGAGAGCCGTGCGACCAACGCCGCCGGCGAGTCGGCTCCGCTTTTATCGAACCCGGATCCGACAGTGGGCGCCAAGGTTCCGGAGGTGGAAATTCATCTCTACCGGCAAGGAAAGGGCCCGATCGAGGTGGTCAAGTGCAGCCTGGGTGGTTGGGAACAGGATCAGCTGGAGGTTCGCGATATCCTCGACAAGTATGCCTTCAAATCCATCTACGCCTTCAACCCTGATTCGGGTCGGGGCGTGCCCATCCGCTTCAACCCTCGCAACGGCCGATCCATCCTCACCTACACTCATGGATCCGTTATTTATGTCGATGGAGAGCCCAAGGTAAGTTATACACACTCAAATATGCATGTATTTGTCTACTTATCTACTCCGTAAGAG